AATAATTACTATTTAAATAAGCAGAAATTGTAGCCTGGAAAAACGAGGATAACGAATTCACTAATAGAAATAATAACACTGCGCTGATGACTTTTTGGGCTATGATACTCTTTTTCTTTTCGCGTCGTAATAACGAGCCGCCTCAAGAGAGAGAAAAAGAGAGAGAGAGAGAGAAAGAGAGAGATCAAAATACGACGATGGATGGGAATTCGCTTGAAACGCCTCGCCCTCCGAATTTTTCAATGCAGGTGTTTCGAGCGAATTCGATTCTTCTTTCTTTTTTTTTCGCGCATTTGCTCGCTCGCTCGCAGAAAACGGTCATGTATGTACGATAAAACTGTGCACTCGACTTGTTTCACGCACGGTTTTAAGTTGACGAGGAGATTTTGTTTCTGTCTTCCTCTTTTTTTTTTTTTTTTTTTTTTNCATTACTTTCTCTTCACACGACACATTATCGGTCAATATAAAAGAAGAAAAAAAACGATAAAGAAAATTGCCGCCATAGGTATATATACTATCCGAAGTGTGCTACGACACGAAGTATTTTGACATGGTTAAGGTACGACAATAAAATTTGCCAAAGTGCGCAGGATTGCATTGATTTTAAACCCGTAACTCGCGAAGCGCGGCGTGTAGCGTTATTTAATATTTTTGCGATTTGTCTATGTCGAATATTCATGGTGCGACTTATAAAGTAACATTGAAAAAACACAGACTGTTTCTTTCTCCGGCGCGAAACACGACGACGGACTTTGTCCGTATTGAGCACGATGTAACGATACGATATTATGCAATATCGCTACGAAAAAGCAGAAATAATGTGAACGAAAGAGAAAGAGAGAACCGAAATAACGGTTGCGACGTAAGATTATAAATTAGAAACAAATACAATCTCGCTCTTAACGAATCAATTGACCTTTGTCTTCTAATGACGATTACGTTCGCGTTTTACTTCTTTCTTGGTTAAGAATGTGTTGCGTGTATTTCATAGCAAAACGATATGCGTAAGATAATTTGATCCTTCCGCTTGATTCTGTCCGAAACTTAATGGATAAAAGCGTATTCATTTTGTGTACGGTGATTTTGTTGTTCATAGAAAAGCTAAATTTACGTGTAACTTTGAGTTATATAACAAACTCTTAAGAAAAACATGACATAAATCGCGTGCGTGATTCAATATTCACGGTTTACGCGAATGAACCATAACAGAAAGTACGCTTATGCGAAACTCTAATATGTAACATCTCTTTCTTGCCAATTGTCATGTTCTATCTTTTTCTAATTTTCATTGTATTTCAGCGTACGTTCGCTCTTATCATCTCTCGCCCGTAGGAAATGTTGATCAAACGTAGAGAATTCAATCAACTGTCAAGTATCTAAATTGATTGCATCTTCATCAGCGATAACTATCGTTTTCATCTACTTTTCGCGAAGAGAGTATAACAAAATAAGAAAAGTGATGTACCGACAAAGTGAAAAAATCCGTGCAGCACGCTATGCGTTTCCGAGAAGCACAAGTAAGACGGTAGATGGAGCCTCGTGGATGCGACTTGCTGATAAGACCGCCCACGTGTCGCCGCCGATGTCAGCGCCCATCGGACTGTACTGTTTGGGTGCACCGTCTATCGCACTTTCAGCACCTGAACTGAAATGGATGCAGGCAAACGAGATTCGACGGAAGGAGAGAGACTCTACGGTCGTTAAGTGCAGTTGAGAGGGACGCGTCCTGTCATCAGCGTGTCGGTCAGCTGAGATCCTTCGGTGGTTTCCCGAGGTGACAATCTCTCACTGGCCGAAAGATGAGCGACTTAGAGAGTTTGCGAAGGAGAGTAGCGGAACTGGAACGCGAGCTGGAAGAGAGGAAGAGCAAGGATGCGGCGACCACGAGGGAGAAGATCGAACATATGTCGGCGGAGGTGGTGGATTCGAATCCATACAGGTGAACTCCACCTCGCTTTCTCGCCCTCCGTTGCATACAAACGATCCTAACGCAGACAAAAAAAATAAGACAATCGATAGGATGCATTGTTTACAACACCAGTTCAGTTTTCAACCGGTGGCTCTGCGTTGTTTCAGCCGGTTGATGGCACTGAAGCGTATGGGTGTCGTCGAGAATTATGAGAAGATTCGAAATCTGTCCATAGCTGTGGTCGGAATCGGCGGTGTCGGCAGCGTGACGGCGGAGATGTTGACGCGCTGTGGTATCGGCAAGGTGGACAAATGTGGAGACTTTGTTTTCTTATCCCACCTTAACGATATTAATCTAATTAATAATGATATTATCCGATAAGTAATGCACGTACGAATGTATTCCAGCTGATATTGTTTGACTATGACAGCGTGGAACTCGCCAACATGAACAGGCTGTTCTTTCAACCGCATCAAGCTGGCCAGAGCAAGGTGGAAGCCGCGGCGAACACTTTGCGATACATAAATCCCGACGTGGAGATCGAGATACGTAACTACAATATCACGACCGTCGATCACTTTCAAGACTTCATGGACACGATAAGGTATGACGCTGTCATATTTATTTCCACAAGTAAAAAAATAAAGTAAAAAAAGAAATACATCTTCCCGAGATATACTTTTCCCTTTTATCTTGTCGCAATAAATTTGGAAAGTGCATTTCTTACTTCTTCGTACTTATCAAGCGGTGCTTTCCGTCATTGCTTGAAATTCGCACGATACTCTTCCACAGTGCATCGAGTTTGAAGAAAGGCCCGGTCGACCTGGTGTTGAGTTGCGTCGACAATTTCGAGGCTCGCATGGCGATCAATGCCGCGTGCAACGAACTCAATCAGAGGTGGTTCGAAAGCGGCGTCTCTGAAAACGCCGTGTCCGGTCACATTCAGTTTATCGTGCCCGGTGAAACGGCCTGTTTCGCGGTAAGATTAATGTGTAAAAATTCCACGGATATATTTGACAGATGCGTCCGACGCTCAGTTTAGCTTCCGGCCATTTTACCTCACCCCTTCGAAGTTTCGGGTCGTTTCTTGTAATGTGGTAGTCCATATGCGGAATATATCGGAGAGTCCTTTGTAATTATTTCGCTGTGACGTTCCAGTGTGCTCCGCCTCTGATCGTTGCGTCCAGTATCGACGAGAAGACTCTGAAACGCGAAGGCGTGTGCGCCGCGTCGCTACCCACCACGATGGGTATAGTGGCAGGCTTCTTGGTGCAGAACGCTTTGAAGTTCCTGCTGGAGTTCGGACAGGTGTCCCATTATTTGGGTTACAATGCCATGGAAGATTTCTTCCCTAAAATGACGCTGAGGCCGAATCCGAATTGCGACGATACGCATTGCAGGCAAAGGCAGCGGGAGTATCTGGCGAAGCCGAGGGTGCAGCAGCAGAAATCGAGGGAAATTTCCGAAGGGAAACCCGTGCACGAGGACAACGAGTGGGGTACGTGTAGTAATTACAATCCCCGCTCTTGACCGGGCTCGGCTCAATGTTACTTTGCGCAGGAATCTCGCTGGTGCAAGACGGACAGTCGGACGCGAGATCGTGCGTGTCGGCGACGATCCCGGGTGTGCGGCACGCATACGCCGTGCCTACGCAGGCCTCCGACGCGGAGAGCGAACAAACGGTTCCCGAAGCCTCGAGTTTAGAAGAATTAATGGCGGAGATGAAGTGCATCTGAGGACGTCGTTCAGTGTCGAGCCCGCGCATTCCGAAACATATTGAATCTGTACCCAACTGTATTGAGCGTGAATCACACTTGATTTACAACACATTCTCCCCGTCATTTTCTCTGTTTCGTTAACGAATGTTATGTAAACAAAAAAGAGACAACTAAATGTCAAACTTTTCAAAACACAAGGACGATCCCTCCTCGTCGTATTCCTCCCTCGTCACCACAAGACTGGAGAAAGTCGCGTCTTGCGACAGCTTCTTCCCGCCGTGCCACGCGTAAGTGATCGGACTGAAAGCAGAAAGAGATTCGTTAGGAAGTTCCTCTCGATTGCGGCGAGCAGCGGTACGGAAGGCGTGAGATACTTTTGCGGTAGATAGACATTTATCGCGTATTCCGCCGGAGCTAAACTCCTGACTTCCTTGTAGACTCTGTCTCTGTAACCCGGGAACTTGGCGTTGCCACCGGTGAGAAGAATGTTCGACAGCAAGTGGGGCCACATCTCTTCGCTGCAGGCCTTTATAGAGTCCATGATGGCTTCGGGGATCCCCATCTGCCGGATGCCGATGTCCGACGGATGGAACAATATCTCCGGTATCGCGAATCTCTCGTTGGTCAAGCGCAACGTCTGTTGCTCGTTAGGCGGCTCCGGGTTCTTGAGGTATCCGCGTCGCAGGCTCGTGTAATCCGGCAACACGTAGTCTTTAGTGATGCTGTTGCTCTCCAACTTGTACTTGGCGCGCTCCATGTCCTTGAAGAAGTCCTGCGAGACGAAGCAGGAATCCTCCTTCACCTGGTTGATCACGTAGGTCTCGTCCATAACGTGTAACTGCCGGTAGGATATTATCTCTTTCAGGTGATTCGTCAGAAGCTTGCCGCCCACGTCTATCCTTCGTATCCCTTCCTTCATCTTCGTGTCGTTGACGTAAGGTATTATGTGCGTGAAACTGTAACCACTGTCGACTACGAGGCAGCATTTCGTTGCGGGATTCTCAGCTCTGTAATTGTAACAGGAGAGACCCGCTGTGTTGATCCTCAGGAGACTGTGGCACTCGTACTCCTCGAAGAAGATTTCCGTCATGGCTTCTTGAATATTCGTAAAGTTAAACACCGGTTCCGTCACTATCACAGACAGCTGGCTCAAGTTCACCGAACAGGATTCCTTCGACAGTATGTAGTCCCACACAGTTTTCTGAATATCCCAATTCACCAGGTAACCTTTTTGGAAGGGTAAGATGTAGAACAGCCCGGAAGCGTCCCGACACTCCTCGATTTGGTTCCCCACGAAGGGTCTGCGGCGCTCGCTCTTCGCTTTCATTATGCAATTCGGCACTAGTCTGAAATATTTTCACGAATGAATTAAGTATACACCGTTGCACGCGCAAGCTTCCGTTTAGTTGTGTTTACGTTCTACTCACTTCGGTGCTTCCCCGGATAGACCAGCTTTCGCCGTGTAAGCGCCGTTATCGAGAATAAAAGTGGAGCTGCTCATATTGAAAAAAATATTTAGATTTTATATATAATATCGCACAACAGAGAGACGAATGAATCTCCTTTCAGTGGTCATAGAAATTGGGAAAGGTGTATTTTGCCGGTACTGAAAGCGGCCATGTTAAGTTTCGGAATTTGTAGACTACCTGGCGCCATCTAACGTTGACGAGAAGAAACAGTTCGCCTCGAAGAGGGTTTGAGTCTTTGCTAAATAAGGTTCGAATCTTGGCTAACGATCAAAACTTCATAAATTAGTTCCAAAGTCTCCGCTACGAGCCGCCACTGTTCCATGTGAAGATTCGGAAGTGATATTACACAATAATTAGTCAGCTGTACCTTGTATCGAGTAGTATAAGTCAACAGTAAGTCAGACGGACGTTGACTTTCAAAGTATATATTTAACGATAGATCACAATCAAAGATCCTTTCATTTTTAATTACCATGGTTCAATCATGGATTAAATGAACCTTTATTTCTCAATACCACGATTGAATATTATATTCGAGCGAACTTATATATCTGCTATTATAAAATTAAAGTCCGTCCGATCACATTTTATATATGATATATCGAATAACGAGAACGCGAGCGAGACGGACTCTCGGCACTAGTCTGAAATATTTTCACGAATGAATTAAGTATACACCGTTGCACGCGCAAGCTTCCGTTTAGTTGTGTTTACGTTCTACTCACTTCGGTGCTTCCCCGGATAGACCAGCTTTCGCCGTGTAAGCGCCGTTATCGAGACGGAAAATAAAACAAACAAAGCTCAAATGCTTATACTGCTTTGATAAACTATACTGATAAAAAATAGTCAATATTTAGACAGGAGAGAATGGGAGGATAATAAATATTTCTGTAACACCGTCGGGACTGAAATCGTTTAATTGTGTCTCTGTACATAAAACAATAAAAATTTAACATAAATTCACTCTGGAAATTACTATGATATATTAGCATTTGATGTATAGTGCTAAACGCTACAGTACATGCTCGATACCTTCTAAATTTATTCCTTTTAATACAGACGTTTTTTTATATTTTCTCTTTTCTTTTCCTTTTAAATATGATTACGATCAACGTTGCAAAAGTTGCTGCTTTTGTTTTTCGTGTCGAGGATTGAGCTCTTCGCACAAAAATTCACATAAGAGCACGAAGTAACGAAGAGTGTGGGCGCGCGCGCGTGTCATGTGTGTGTATGTGTGTATACGCGTACGTACGTGTGGTGTGTGTGAGGACGTCTCGATCAATCGGGCAAACTTATAAAATAAATTCTGCGGAATCGTAGTACGCGCTCGACGTGGCCTCGTTGATCGAAACGTCCATGCCGACGGACTTACGTTTTTAAGTAAATTTCTGTACTTTACACCACGCGCGGGTACGAACGGGTATCTTTCTCCCCGTGTGCTCCCTTCTCTCAACTGTGTACTAAACTCGTATAAGTCCCGTTACCTATAAGAGGGCTGTTTCGGTAAATTAATATCCTATCTCATTGAAGTAATCAAGTATAATTATCTTTTTTATATAACCCTATATGTATATGTATACATACATATATATATATATTTATAATATATATATATTTATATTTATATACCTTCGTATAATATATACCACAAATTGTATTATTATTAATATAATACAATATATCGATTATGTTTACATTATAACTTATAAACCTACAGAGAATATATCTCGTATATTTACATAAGGATATTAAAAACATGTTTTCTGATGATTTCCGTATAAAGGGAAAAGGAAGAAGAAAAAGAAGGAAAGAGAGAAAAGAAGAAAAGAAAGGAAAGAAGAAAAGAATAAAACGAAATCAGTCCGTTCGGACGAACTGCCGTTCGGGAGATGCCGGCCTCTACTAATGCACAGGCACGATCTCGCACGATGTCGCACGTCAGATTGCGCGAGATTTGTCGAATCGAATGCGCGGAAGTACATATATATATTCACTGTCCTTTCGTACATGAGAGAATTCTTCACGTTGTACCGGTTTATTTCAAGGCCTACGTTACAAGTGCATTTCAACCGGAGATCGCAAACGCGTGAGACTTTTTTTACCGGGCCGTTCTCCGACTACCGGCTCGCACGATAGCGAGAGAACACACGTCGTCCCTCAAATAATATCGAGGGGTGTACGAGCTGTTTATCTCCTCTTTATCTTATTTATACCTTTTATCGCCGACTCCCCGTGTCCATCGACTTGACATTCGAGATTCCACGAGCGGATATATACGTTGCGGCGGCACGAGAGATGTTTTCCCCTTTTTTAGTTTTTCCTATATTTAAAAATCGTCAAGCCATTCTCTCTCTCTCTCTCTCTCTCACTCAATGGTGGGCTCGACGATTTTCGCGTGATTGATTCGCGATCGGCCTATTCCGATTACGACGCGGCTATTCGCCCGGTCTAAACCGTCACATCGGTAACTAGTCGTATCCATATAGGCGGTATACACAGTTCGGAAGGCGCTGACAGAGAAGACACGCAATTAAAAATCAATACGGAGAAAAAGTTAATCGCGCGTGTTCGCGGTTGTACACGACGACGTCCGGTTGGTGCGCGCGTTTTAGAAAAATATCGCGGATCCGCGTTTTGTCTTAATGTTGTCACGACCCGTTCTGATTTTACCGCTCTTCGCTCTCGCTCGTCCGTAATTTTATTATATAGATGAAAAACTGTACTGTTACCTATTGATTGGCTCTGTAGTATCGATATAAAAATAAATCGCACAGTGTAATCGTCCTGTTTTATTCGTATTGATTCTAATCTAGTATGCGTAATACTTCTTATGCGTCCTTTAAGACCGCGATGGAATCGGAGAGGCTAATTAGTATTATACATATATACGTACTATTTTTTTATCTAAGAGAACGGTACTACACGGAATACGGATGCTTCGCGCGTGTCCGTCAGTCAATTGTATTCCACGTCGCACGAACGGAGAGACGGAATGCACAACACTTCCCTTGCGGAGAGCTGAACACGGAGATCGGGCTACTATGCGTGTACGCGCGCGCGCGCGCGCGCGTGTGTGTGTGTGTGTGTGTGTGTGTGAAACGAATCAAGATTCTCCCGCCGTCGTGGTGGTGGGCGACATTACGCGTGACGCAATACACGAGATGAGAGACACAAGACCGTGAAAGAAAGCCGCGACTTTTCCCCATCCGAACGAAGTTCTCGTACCGTCGCGCGGGTGACAGCTGGAAATTATATTGCAAAAACGGAAACGGTTTACGTTTACGTCTAACGGCAATTCAAACGAGACGCACATCCGCATTAATGAAACAATGTAAAATGTAACACCTAATCGGACATATGTGTGTATGTATATACGAATATATCTTCTAAAACTCTCTTATATAAGAACCCCATATGTATTAAAGTGAAACATGACAATTAGTGACCATGGCACTGTCACGTCATACAGCACACTATTACAAATCCTCCTCCTCCTCCTCCTCTCTTCATCCTCGTCTTTCTCCTACTCCTTACTCTCACTCCTCTTCCCACTTCTCCTCCTCTCATCCTCGTTCATTGCCCTCACGTCGCGAACGAAACGCACGTTGGAACGTAGAGCAGACTTATTTACACGTTTCACGCGCTGCTTCCGTTTTTTTTTTTTTATTACTTGTACTGTGTCATTTGTCGACGTCGTAATGACGAGTGCAAAAGTGTCTTAAGAAACACAGCTTTCGAGACAATTCAATTCAAAAAGAGCAAGTTTCTGCGACGTTTGCCAATGAACTCGTGAAGAAAAAAAATTAAAAAAAAAACAACTTCTATCTAACATTAGAAATAAAAAAAGAAACAAAAAAAGGAAAGAAATAAATGTACGATTATGTCTCTGTACAATTGGCACGCCTTGCCTGTCAGTAAGGAATATCTCTGAGAGTACAAAACAGGTGGTTGTCGATTCATTTCTAATAAGTGTATACGCACTTTTTACACTGCTCAAGTTGCAATACACTCCTTACAAACGAAGACCTTTGGCCAGAGTAATGAGTTTTTTTGGATAAGGCTTTTCAATATACATCCTAAGTTCTCTTTCTAAGAAGAAACGATTTTACCTTCACTTTTCACGCCTCTTTCTCTCTTTCTCTCTTTCTCTCGCTCTCTCGCTCTCCCCTCTCTCCCTCCCTCCCTCACACATACTCACTTATTCCGCTGACACATACACAACACATACACAGACACACATAAACGTATATTCGCTCGTTCACATAAAACACACCTGTATATTTATCATTCATTATTCGCGTATTCATTCGTAGACTGTCCGTCAACGTTTCTAATGTTGTATGTTGCACAAACAGTCTTGATCCTTTAAAAAGTAGCCATTCACCAGCCTATATACACATCCGTTTAAATATCTTACTTTACAGGTTAACAGCGGGCCATTAAGCTGTGAGGCCATTGAGTAGTCGATTAGCACAGTCCATCTCTTGCAGAACTCTTATTTCACTGTGGAGTAATTTTGCTGAGGATTTTGATTTGAAGATACCCACGTGTTGAATACATCTCTGAAATAGATCACGGAACGCATATAGATACCAAGCAAAGAGGAGAAAGTTTACATGTACGGTAAACTTTATGGATTAGTCCTAGAATACTAACTTGTTATCCCCCCCCCCCGAGCCTATATTAATCCTACATCTCGGAGAGACGTGAAGTGATTAAAAAAAGAAAAAAAAAACTCAAAGACTATTTAATGTGACAAATATATTTTTTTCTAAAATATGTAAAACAAATTCGAAATTGATGGGGTGGAAAACAGAAGAGCAAGGGGAGTTCGTGAAAACAACTACGTCTCGGAGACGCACGTTAGTATTCTAGGGTTAAAAAGTTAGACCGAAGATTCGATCGCGTTCTCGTCTTGTACGATTCTTCGCGCAAGAGATGGAATCAAGACTAATTTCGAGCGAAGAGAAATGATATAAGTGTAATGCTCACGCAAACCTGCAATGGCTAACCACGCATTCGTTACTGCAGTATTCGTCCTCCCATTCGTTATTGGATATAGCAGGATTGGGACAGCCGTGATGTATACAAGGTGGCGGTGGCCTTTGTCCCGTCATAGTTACTTGCGAAGGATTCACGGGCGATGAATTCGACATAGTCTCGTCGGACTTGATAAATTCTCCCCTCGGTGGACTCATGTGTATCATTTGTTGCTGCTGTTGCTGCTGCACCTGCACCTGCTGTTGCTGCGGCACCTATACATAACACAAATTGTAACAGAGCTATAAGAATTCATAAATAGTACATATCACCGGGCAACATATACTGAACGGTGAGTCAGAGAAACGAAACGCGTTTAACTAACCTGCATATACTGTTGCTGGGAAACCTGCTGTTGCATATGCTGCTGTTGCTGTTGCGTCATGTGCGGTGGCGCCATTACGTTGCCCATTAAACCCTGCAAAAGAAGAACAAAATATCACGCACTTTTCTCGCCAAGAATCATCATCTTCTTCCCCCACGCTCGCTATAAGTAAATTTTACGACTACGTGAGAAAAACGCAAGATTTTCCAGACAAAAGGCCGGACAAGAGAACAAGAATATAAATAAATCTGTGCGCAAACGTCATTCAATAAATATACATTTTTATTATAAATAATAATAAAACTTTTAATATAAAATTATTATTTTTTCCAATATTATTCGTTTCTGTGTGTGTGTAATCTTATAATACTTATAAATAAATGCCCGACGGACAATTTCCTTCTTCAGCAATTCGGTCGCGTAGGAAACTTCCGCACCTGTTGTTGAGGATTTCCTTGCATCGCCAAGTGATGCGGCGACTTTTTATTGATAGCCATCTGCTGCTGCTGCTGCTGCTGCTGTTGCTGCTGTTGGTGCTGCTGCTGAGGCGACGGCGGTTGATGCTGTGGACTGTAGACCTGATATGTTACATTCCCGGCAGCAGCGTTACTGGCGTAACCTGAGTATCCGCTGTATTGCATCTGCTGCTGTTGCTGCTGCTGTTGCTGCTGCGGTTGCTGTTGCTGTTCGTTCTCGCTCGCGCCTTTGCTGACCAAGGACGCCCTGTATGCTGCGAGCGCCTTCAGATATTCCTTCTTGGCTGCCTCGGTCTTCTTCTTGTAAACCTACGAGATTCGCACGTCGATTTATCAACAACTGATATCACCTATGATCCAACTAAATTTATATTATTAATCGAGTGAACAAACATTACACACGCAATCAATATCACACAACAAGATCGTTCTTAGCCTTACATTTTTATGCTCGGTTTCTAACGCGTCCCACATCGACGCCACGATTTTGGACACCTCGCCGAAGGTGGCGGTTGGATTTTGCCCCTTGATCGCCGCCTGAGTGTCCCGAAAGAAGAGGGCGTACGCCGACACCGGTCTGCGAACATCGATCGAAGGGATCTCGCGTGAGATTTAGGCGAACGCCTCGAGTATCATCATCATCATCAAAATCCGTGCTAAAGAGAGACGTTTCGGAAATAAAGCGCAGATCTCATTTTCCGGGTTCTCTTCGCAGGATACGTTATCGTTACCACGGCTACATTTATTTCCACGTTCTCTTTAACCGAGCGCTAACGCTGGCTGGCTCAACGACCATTTCCAACAGGAATATCGAGGGGTTCGTGTTTCTATAGTCGAGCAGATATAGCTTAGCCCTCTCTCTCTCTCCCCCACCCCTCCATCTTTCTCCGTTCTATACTGCACGTCGAGAGGTCCTCGCCCCCGCCCGCATCCCCTTCGCCCTGTCCCCGCAGCTCCCTTGTCCCAACATGTCCTACATTTACATCGCAACAATAACGTTAATTGCTAATTTACAGCGGTAATAACTTACACCGTTAATGCGAGACCACCACTGGCGTAGACGTGGAATTGTTGACACGTAATACCTTTGATATATGCCATATGATTTAGCGTATACCAAACGGGACACGTACCGTTTCGTACGTGCATACAGCCACGTACCTTCGGCTGCGTATTTGTCGCGCGCAAACACGGATAATACTAACTCAACGGAAATACGTTTCGTCGTGCTCGCGTAGCTTCGAATTGTCGCGGAGAACACGCGCAATTGCCTCTTTTTGGTTTTTTTCTTACGGCACAGTATTTATATCTCTCGACGCACGAGCGATAAAATTTCGCCGGGAGAGCCAAACGAGACGCATTTTCGAGGACGACAGAGCTGAAGAGACGGAAAGGGAGGCTCTGAAACGGTGTCATCCTCTGTGCGGAACTTTGCCCGGGATGAGCTTCCGCGAGATTTAACAGATACAGACGAACTCTCTGGGACTTCACCACCTCTTTTCCCCCTTCTCGTTCGTTTCTCTCTATTTTTACAACAATCGAGACGTTGCCACTTACTTCTGCGGCTCATTGGGGTCTCTCTTCTTCTTCTTCTTCTGCGGCTTCGTTTTCCTTTGGTTCTTCGCCCCGGCGTCGGCCGGCTCCGGCGACAGTCGTTTCATCACTGTGATCTGCATGAAGAAAAAAGAAAAAACGGATACATGCACACACACATATATATATATATATATGTGTTCACAGAAAAACTGAGACTTCGGAAATTGCGATAATTGAAACGTTTCATTATCGACAATTGCACGCAATCTTCCTCGGGAGGATAATATTATTAATGCGAAAGATAATAGGCGTTGTATAACGGCGCGTTGTTTATCGAGCCGGCCGAATCGCGGATAGAATAACTGCGCGTGCGAGGATGTGGTGTTAGATTGGCGCGCACGATCGAACGATGAGAGACTTTGCATAAATCGCGCCGATACACGTGTTGATTTATACGCGCGTGAGATACTCGGCTCACCATCCCGGAATGCGGAGTGCTGTCGTCGCTGTCCTCGCTCGTCGTGGTGTTGTTGTTCGCCTCCGGGATACTATTGGCCTGCATGGCGGTCGGACTGCCGCCGGTGGGACTCCTGTACTGCATCTGCTGCTGTTGCTGTTGCTGCAACTGCGGCTGCGGCTGCTGTTGAGAATGCATGTACTGCATGTGCTGCATCTGCACTTGCTGTTGCTGCTGCTGCTGTTGTTGTTGCTGCTGCTGCTGCAGCATCATCAGCTGTTGTCCGCTGTGCTGTTGCTGGCGCGGTGAGCTCATCGTCGCGTACGAGCTCTGGGAGCTGCCGTATGCCGAGCTGCGACCGGAGAAAGAGAGATTAGACTTGAAAAGAAGGAAACAAAAAGGATGTCCGATAGCGTAGGATACTCCGGTGAGTTCCGAAGAAGCGAGAGGTCGCGGCCGGCGCGCTGGTGAAGGAAAAACGAAAACTCCGTCAGTAAACTGAAAACAATAAAGTGAAGAGACGCATCTCGAGCCGCGAGAAGCGTGAGAGACCGTTGTTGTCCCGGCTCGTTACCGTTTTTCCACTCGCCGATCGATTTGTCTCCCCTTGTCTGACTTTTATCGCTGAGCGATCGTAAATCGCGCGCCGTTTCTCGCGCGGACTGTATCGCGTTTAACCGTTTTCTCGGATAGGACGGACAGGGGGAAACGCAGAAATTGCTTCGGAAACGTACGTACGTACTTACTTTCGTTCGTTCGTTCCTCCGGCGCGCGCGCAAATCGCGGCGTAAATCGTTCTTCGGCCGAGATAAACGCATCGGGAACGAACGAGCGGCGGCGGCGACGTCGGCGAAAGAAGGTTGGAATATATACGTGTGTACAGCCGTACCACCACCTTCGCTATTTTAACGCAAATTGGATAACTTTTGAGATACGGCCGGCGCTGCGTCAGCGTCGGAGGATTTACAGCCTACTCTATATCATTTCCCTTCTGTCCTCCTTCTGCCCCAGCCCTAATGTTTCCACTACTACCTTCTCTCCCACCGGCGGCGGAGCGCCGTCGAGAGCATCGAGTTTACACCCTCTCTTCCGAGAGAGCTTCTCTATCGACCCGTGGAAATCCGAACCGGTATTTCGGAGGAGGAACTCGCGTTCGCGATGAATTCTTCACTTCTCTCTCTCTCTCTCTCTCTCTCTGTTCTTCTTCTTCTTTGTTATTTTTTCTCTTCCCTATTAAGCAACCGCCGGTTCTTCTTGTTTTCCGACCTAAGCACATTCCGGCGTCGATGACTAATCCTCGACGTTTGCCTCGGAGTTGTTTACGCGTTCGCGTGACACTTATTGAATACGAACATCGGCGTATATCGACGAACAAAACCATCGTCGTGTCCCCGTGAAGGAAGCGAGAAACCCAGACCTTTCGGCGTTTCCATCGTTTCGACACACGGCGCATTTCGTAACGGCCGCTTCTCTCGGATTTCCTCACGGCCAGCGAAACTCGCCTCGTTTAATTCCAGATTTATTAATTCGACGTGCATAATCAATATCTTCCCCGGCGAAGTATCTCTCGACGATTTTATTTATAACCGCCGACTTCTCCTGAACGACACCCGAACCGTCGATCTCGCCGGCGGAGATCGCGATTGCCTACTTGGCGATTCGACGCGTGCGGTGTATCGCGCGCAGATATATAACTCTCTTTGCGATCTATCGCAAGCTCGGACCCAACGTCGTCGCCGACGGTAGACGGACCGGGTCTCAATCGGATATCATACTTTTCTACTCGGTATACGTATGCACGTATGCCTCTCTGCTGCCTAACCAGAGTGATTACAGTGTGTAATTCGCAAAGCAAATTACTCGTTCGCTTGATACTTCTCTCTCTCTCTCTCTCTCTCTGGTATCCCGGCTACCTCTGGACGAGAAGAGGACAGAGAAGACACGATCTCCCATCTCCGAAGAAGCTTTCTTCCTCTCTCCCTTTCTCTCTCGCGAGAGAGAGAGTTACGTGCGTCTGTTAAAAAAGATAAAAAAAGGGGAAAAAGAGAGAGAGGGAGAGAGAGAGAAACGAAAAAGAGTCTCGACGTCCTAAATTGCGGTCGTAAGACTACGTAATGGCAGGTTCTCACGAACGTTACTCGGTAGGCTTAATACACGGTAAATCATAGCCTCGGTGTATACCTCTTGCGTAGACGCAAGGCAGGCAAGCACGCAGCGCGCGCGCACTCACGCACGCACCGGCGCGCACTCACGCACTCGGCCGCGTGTACATCTGTTTGTTCCTACATAGCCGACCATTTTCCTCCATTTCGCCGCGGAACAAAGAAAGGAGAGCTCGCGTCTCCTCGCGGTTAAAGGCGAGACTGCGCGTGTATAATCCTAACGGAAGGCGGTGAGAAAACGTTATTAACATTCCCGTGCAAAAGGGAGAGGAAGGACGAGGAAAAAAGATATTAAATTATGGAACAAAGGCAGGAATCGCGCACCGGCGCACCGCCGATCTCCCCGCCGATTAAGATCTGCTCTCTATTGCGGAATGATACGGTATGCCCTCTCCGAATATCTCAGCCGGGGATTTTCATCGGGAATCACACGGCGGGAGAACGGCGACGTCCGGGCAACGAAAGGGCCGCAGCGAAGGAAAATATCCGACCCTTCCTCTCCCCACCCTCATCTTCCTCATTCGTTCTTATTTGTTTTTAATTTTGTCCCGCGTCACTCGATCGTCTCCCGTGCATTAAGAGAGATCAAGCGTAAGGAGAATTTCCGAAGGCTCAAGCTCTCCCCTCCGCGCGTCTTTCGTGGGGGTGAGCTCCGTTCGTAGCCTAGGTAGGTAGGTACGTTCCGTACGACGCGATCAAAATTGGGTTTACCGAAATTGCCGCAGGCCAGCGTTGCAATAACGAGGTAAGTCGAATTTCCATAATTCGGAGTTATGCAAACGGTGTACGACGGTGTGCGCGCGCGACGGGCACGGATGTTTGCCGTATACACCGAAAGAGAGAGAAACAGAGTGCGTGTATGAGAGAGAAAGGAGAGAATATATCGCTAATTCAACAATCTTCCATTCGCGGTATTTCGTTGGAGTTTCGCGAGTTAACGCGGTAATTGTCGTTGTTAACGTTGTTCGGGGCGAGTAGCGGCCCCTCGGCGGGGAAGAATCGCGGCCCGTAATTCCAACTCTCTCTCTTGCGAGTTCATTCCGGCACGCTCCGTACATTCTGCCTCTCGGTATATTAGCGATTTTAAATCGTTTCGGTACCGTCGTATCCATTTTTTTTACCCCCGTAAGAGAGAAACAGGAAGAAAAAGGAGGAGAGGCAAAACAGATGACGCGCTACGAGCGAAGACAATCCCAAATCGTAGGAAGCCCGAAGAACGCTTCTCCTAGTCACCGCGCTAGGAGTCGTCGTCGAGAGTTCTTCCTCCATCTCGCGTAGCGCGTCATCGGCGTCTGTGAACGATCGCATAATAGAGAACCAAGGGTGTCGGACGCTCATTAATCTTGCTTTGTTACGCCTAAAGCTGCGTATTCTCCAATCATCGCGACGCTTGTTCGAACTACGCTCTGTTCCGTTCACTCGAGGAACGGCGGAGGGAAGACGAAGCCGAGAGCGGAGAGTCGCGACGACGGTTTTTCGAGATCTTCCTTCTCGGGGAAGAGCGCGACGGCCGGGCGGACATCCTTCTCGCTCCTGGCCCGTCTAATTCGGGAGGTACCGCGAGAGCCGGAATTCAATTTGCCGGAGAACGATTTTCCGCCATCTCTCGCCCCTTCCGTTCTATTATTAATCGATCCATTAATACAAGTTCGCGATACATCGCGAAAAGTGCGCCCTCGGAGTTTCGGACGGGCGACTTAGGGGAGGCCGGGAAGTCACAAAGCTTATATATCTCACGTAATAAATAATGGAAAATATTCTTCCTTATAGTGTAACTTGCTTGTATTGAATGCGTAAGTAAATTTGTTTTCTCGTCTCTATTGTTATTTAATGTTCTGTTGGTTTTAGAATTACCAATCGCAATTTCTCTTTATTTATGAAAAATACTATACTTTTTGCTAATTTTCCCAGTATTTAATTCATCGTTACCGCACCATAATTTGTAAATTTAATCTCTTTTATCGTAAATAAACGTTTAGGGTAAATTGACTCAAATCCGGTAAAACTGGTTGTCACGCTACGACATTCCTTATGCATGCGCATTAAAGCACACGTACTGATCGTCGAATGTTGTTAAAATAAATCCGGTTAGTTTAATGATGCACTTAAGTTTTTATAAAAGAAACGACTTCTGTTTTTTTTTTTTATTAATGATGTAATACTGTATATATGTATGATTTTATGATAGTAAATATGTATGATTTTTTAAGTCGACTTTGTAAATTATATTGTAATATCTCACTAATTTTAATAAAATATTAAACGACCACGTTTAAACAAACTATTTGGTTTTTTCTGTATAAAAGACACATGACCCAAGATATGAGATGAGATGTCACATTTGCGCGATCTTGCTTACAATTAAATAACTTTTTCGTGCATAAAATAAGATTAATTTTTTTTTCTCTTACCTAAAGGACGTGGCTGCATTATAACGTACACAATATTATGAGATATTGCATGCAATTTCTTTTTTTAATCGATATGTAAAAAGTGTGATCCGGTCTCCCCTACATGGGTACGTCCGTACGCGGGGTACTCGATACGTTAACCGTACGTAAACGACGTTAGGTAGGGTCGGCTAATCGAGCAGTGCCTCACCTGACATTGATCGGTTGCATCGAATGTTCCTGTTGCAGATAGAGCTGTTGCTGATAACCACCGGCGTCCAGGCTCAGACCGTCCGGTGATTGCTGCATACCGCTACCTTGCATCATCTGTAATAAATGATTTAACGCATGTGAAGAGGGAAGAAAAAAGTACCGTCAACGCGCGTGCACGTGAGCGTTTTGTACATAAAGAGGAAACCGCAGAAGAGAAAGAGAGAGAGAGAGAGAGAGAAATAGGGAGACAAAATGTAGAAAGCAAAAAAAAAGAGAGTGAAACTTTTGATCGTGCGACCGATGCAGTTTACCGGTCGCATCCGGCTGGTAAATACCGGCTTAAAATGCGCAAATCGCGCAAAACGACGCGACAGCTTTGCGGCTATTCGGAGTATTTCATTCCCTTTGATGGTATTACGGAAACGCCGCTTTTTATTATCGACACTGCGTTGAGAGCCGGTGTAAAAATATCGCGGTAACGATGAATCGCTTGCAAATCTACGAACGGTGGTGGAATATCGCGCGAGTTAATTATTTCGCTCGGAGCTTCCCTCGAGCGCAGCAGTTAAGAATCGTAGAATTTCTACTGCGCGTTCGAATGTTTCTTTATCTCTCTTTATCTCGAGGTCAAAGGAGAAATAAAAAAAGAGAGAGAGAGAGAGCGAGGGAGAAAAAGGAAGGAGGGAGGGAGGAAAAGAGAGATACGATGAGAACGCGTCTAAAAATAATGTCTCGACGTTACATGAATAATGCCCGAATGCGGAAGTCGTTAAATGGTCGATACATCATTCCGACATCGTTTTCTTCCACGGTCGCGTGCACGTATACATGCGTATACATTATTACGCGTGTTGTGCACCGTCCATGGCCTTTCTGACGTTTCGTCGAAATTCAAATGAAGTGAGCGGATGAAAGAGGATCGGAATGTACTACTGGAAAAGCTAAAGCGACGTTGAACGGCTTCGAAGAATTCCGACTCGGCGGAGATTTACGGCGGGCGGTGTGCGCGTCGGTTCCTCGTCAACGTTGCCAATTGAATTCGCACGAAAAAAAAAGCGAGAGAGATGAAAGAAAAAAAAATAACGCCCGACGTCGAAACAATTTCGGCGGAAAAAGATCCGAGATACACCGGGAGGGGGAAAAAATCGATAGTACACGAATATATATGTCACGTGAATCTGCGAGGAGCGAAAAACTTCTAAAAATTCACATCGATTCAGCGCGGTCGTCGAACCGCCTTACCTGCGGCTGATACGCGTGCATGGGATCGTGCTGCTGATGATGCTGCTGCTGCTGCGGTTGTTGCTGATGCGAATGGGGATGAATAGCCGGTATATCGAAGTCCTCGTCGCCGAAGCTCGGCGTGTGAAATGTCTGGAAGCACACAAGGAGTCACGCGTCACAGGCGAAAACTTGGCCGAAAACTTTGTGGTCCTAGAGACCGCGCAGAGCAAGAAACGAAATGAAAGAGAGGGAGATGCTAAAATTCATACACCCTCTTGCTCACGTCGCGGAATATTGCGTTCTTGCGACTTTCCCTCGTTAGCGAGTTATCGTTAGCGAGAAGAAGCTTTTCCTCCTTGCAGGGCCGGTAGCGTCTTCGGGGCGAGCGAGCGAGCGAGCGAGGGAAGCGAAGAGACGACGAAAAGGGAAGGCCCCTCTGCGAGAGGGGCGAGGTGGGGCACGACGTGAAAGTAGAATCAAAGAATCAACCTTCCACCGTCCCTCGGCGGGATGATAGATAGCGTTATATTGTTCGGAATCCTTTTAGCAATTTATTCCCCTTCACAAAAGGGAAGGAAAATAAATTTGCCGCGGCGCAACGCGGTGGTAGGGAGAATAAAAGTTTCGAAATTGGATTTAATAGCGTCAGGAATTTCCCTTTGAAGAAACACGGCTGTCTATCGATCGCTAGTGTTGTGTACCTCTCCTTCCTCCACCTCCTCTCTCTCTTTCCCTCTCTGTCTCTCTCTACTTTATTTTCCCGTTATTAAAGCATCGTATTCGAAACGACTGGCGACAGAAAGCTAGTCGAAATCGGAATCCGAGTAACTGCGTGCCGCGCGTGATCGCGCGACACGATACACAGTGAAAGAGAGAGAGAGAGAGAGAGAGAGAGAGAGCAGCGCGCGCGCGCGCGGGGAGTCAGGTGGTACTGCTGCGCGTAAACCAGATTTATACGTGCCATTAATCGTTTTATTACGCCCAATTCCGCGGATCGTTTATCGCGAAATCCATTTTACGTTTACGCGCTCGTGACATCGTTACTCGATACTCGGTGGTGGACATTACGATCTAATTTCGTGCGTGCGTAACCGGCGAGCCGGAGCGTCGTCCGCCGAGTGCAGCAACGCGCCCGGAAGCATCGCCTTTCTCAGTGGATCTCGCCGTTTCCGCGCTTTTTCGCGCTTTCCCGTTTGCCGACGGAATTCAAGCGCTCGCTCGCATACTTGAACTCACTTAAAGCCACCGATAGGGTCGCGCGACGCGTCATTTTTCACGACGCGACTATTTCTTCTTCCCTTCGCCTTCCCACTCCGCAGTACTGGAGGCTGATATTAAATTCGCGATTCGCGTCGAATCGCAGGTAAATGGAGAGACAGTTGAAGGAAAGGGAAGGGGGGGGGGGCGGAGGGNCGGGGGTGAAGCGCGAGGCAAGAGAAAGGCGAGCGAACGACAAAGAAATATCGTTCTTCCTCCCGTCGTCGTCGTCGTCTTTCTTCTTCTCCTCCTCCTCCTCCACCTTCTCCTCCACGTAGTCGCAGTCGTAGTCGTCGTTTTTCTTTTCCTCACTGTGAACTAAACTCGTTCCGCCATCTCGTTAAAACTTGCGCGCGACTCTCGCAACTTGGTTCTTCTTCCTGAAGAAATATTATTTAGATGGTTTCCTGGTTACGCAACCAACCACCCGTTCGTCGTTCCCGCCTCTTTCCCCGCCTGCCCCGAGACCTTCTCCTCTCCCTCGTTCGCCTAACTTCGATTTCGCGCTCTCACGTATACAAATTACATATTATTTCAATACGAATGCTGTAGAGTCTTTGCGAGATAAACTTTTTCTCGCGCGCGAGCAATACGCAATTTTGAGGTAAAGAGCGATATAAAAGCGCAATGTCGATATCGGGTGGAAACGAGGGTTCGTGCGAGCCTCGAGAAGATGCCGGCTGAAAAATAAGAATTAACGGCTGTCAGTGGAATCTTTCTCATCGTCGTTGTTGCAACATTGTAACGGAGCGAGCGTTTTAGAAAGCGATTCGGAGAGACGGACAAAGAGAGAGACCAACTGCGAAGGAAGAAAAAAAAAGCCGAGTGTCTCGATACCGACTCGGGAGAGTTGCCGTACATAATTAATGAAGGCGACGGAGAAAGTGCGAGCGAACGCGACGCGACATTAGCGGCATTAAGGGGAGAGGAAGAAAGATAGATAGATAGATATATATTATATATATATATATATATAGAGAGAGAGAGAGAGAGAGAAATAAAGAGAGAGACGTGGACAAAAGTTAGATCTAAGGTTTGATAAAATCTCAACGGTGAAGTCTAGAAAGAGGACGGAACGTGCGTTTCGTTATTATTACTATATTTCATGTACCGTGACACGTTCGACATCACGAACGATACACGAGAATTAGACGTCGTCCTTCGGAAAGGACGATTTACGGAGGACGTTCGGCGACCCGACGATGATCGTCGGCGAAGAAGCGGAACGCGCGGTGGCAGCAAAACGAAGGGGAACGTAAAAACGAAAATTGGATCAACTTTTTACGAGAGAGAGAGAGAGAGAGAGAGAGAGGGAGAAGGGGCAGGGGAAGCTTCTAAGTGTAAGGACGCCGTAAAGAAGCTCGACTGGCAATAATACCGTTCCGTGTACAGCTTCCGCAACGATACGGAGGGACGTGCGACTCGAAACGCGCAAGCGAATTGTCGGAACTTTCATCGGTTAATCTGCCCCGTCGATCGAACTGTAACAACGGTGAGATACCGTCATTCTTTCTACCACACGCACGGTCGCGCACGGTCTTTCCCCAACGATGCATAATTAATCGAGAGCCGCGATCCTCCTAAATGAAACATTTATAACGCAGGTGTACATGGCGTAGATGCAAGCTGAATGTTTTTTAACGTCGAGAGGAAAAGAAAGGACGGCTGTGAGAGACCGAACGCGATTAAAAGTGCGCGGTGCGTCACGATCTAATTGCGACTGATTAAAAACTGATTTGCGTTTTTATAAACTCGTCGGAGTGAGTGATGTCATCCAGCGCGCCTCCAAGGCTAACCGGCGACTCGAGCTTTAGCCTTGAAGATATATACTATTTTCGTCGTTACCGTTTCGAGTCGTAATTATCTATTGAATCACTCCGCGGGATTTAACGTTTCAACTTCCGATAGCTCTCCTCTATTGTCTCGGACGAGTGCTTTTATTCTTCTCTCTTTCTTTCTTTCTTTCTCTCTCTCTCTCTCTCTCACTCTTTCGCTATCTCTCCGCCAAGGTTACGACGCGAAAAGCGCTTCGAGTCCGCTGACGCGAGGATCCGTCCGATTAAGACGCGAGACGCTAATTAATCGTGTCAAATCGCCTGCGCACGGCCGGCGCGACAAAGCATCAAACTTGCCTCCCCCTCCCCGCCCCCCGAGTAATGAGTTTTCGAAGCCGCTATTGATCGACTCGCGGAAATTGGTTCATTCGTTATCAACCGATTTACGATCGCTAATGCCGCGCGAATCGAAACACGTAACGTGCGCGCCCGCGCTCGCGCGTTTATTAAACAATGAAATTATAACCGGTGGTTATTTATCGCAGATTGCCAATTACCGGACGCTTAGATTGGACCGAGCGACCGGCCGATTGAACGCGCGTCCCGCATTCGATCGGGACGACACTGCGGCAAATCGCCATCGGCGATGTGCGTAGGCGGGGCGCATGGGCGGCACGCGTCTCACCCTGGGCTCTCATTTTTCAGATTTCCCTTCCATTTCGACGCGACTGTCGATACACAGGATTAACCTATTCCGGACGCGTGAAAAAATGCGCCGGACCAGCGGATTATTTCAATCGCGTCGCACCGCCGGACGAACGGACGGACGCGACGGTTATCCACCCCTTCATCGAACCGGACGACGACGATTGCATTGCCGACGGTATCCGGTTCCTCGTTTGTTTAAACCGGCTTAAACCGGGAGGGACACGAGAACGTATTCGCGCGCGCGGGTAATGAGAATTAAGAAATTCCTGCCGGAAGCTTGCTCTGGCTCGTGAGTTCTCTCTCTTTCTCTCTCTCATTTCACGAATGTATCTCTAACATCAAATTGCAATTGGTTTTCAACTCTTGTGTACATCTCATCCACAAACTCAGGATGGACGACCATGTTTTCCGTCTGTAGGAAAATTGACTCTCCATTCAGAATCGGCGCCTTTATCACTCAAGCTGTTTGCCGTTCGCCATCTTACAATCTTATATTCCGTTATGTTTGCACGCAATGATGCCCTTTTGCGTCACTAGGGATCATAACTACAACGAACAGATTATTTATGCTTATCTACCATCGCGCAGAAATTTATAGGAAATCCTTTACGGAGCTGCGTATTCTCGGAATTTGTTGCCAGGTATGAAAATAGTACCTGCTTCCTCGCCACTAAAATTTAAGTGCGCTCTAATGTCGTACTTAATAAATCTAGAAAAGTGCTTGAACCGTTAACGTTCCGTGGTAAACTTTTGCACGTAATATTAAGTTCACGCTTTATCTGCAAATTTATTTCTGTTATTTCCTGTCATATTACTTCGCATACGCATTGCGATCTGTTACTTTTATTCACCTGGCGTGTTTAAATATTTTATAGCCATACCCGAACATTGCGTTATCATTATCATGTACTTTACTGTTCTCTTGACTAACGTTTAACTAACACTTTTCCTTTTCTTTTGGTTCTGGTTATCCCTGCCAAGAATATTATATATCGTTAACTGTAAAGTTCAAGAGGTTTACCCTGGAATATCAATAAACTTTATTCTAGCCCTTCGTACGATCGCTCCAACGTCGTCGATCGAGAGAGGTCGCATAAGATACGAAGCTATCGAAGAGTCTCGATGGAAACGTGCAGCCGAGCAATTTAAATTTCAATGAAATTAAAGGCTATTAAGTCCGGCATTTCGTAATTGCCCGACGGACTGGCGACTCGTTCCACTTTTTTCTCCCGTTTGCCGCTGTATCTCTTCCTTATATTTCCCTCCCTCCCCCCTTTTTTTTTCACGGAACTGATACATTGACTTACATAAGACTTCGTTCCTCTCGAGATTTCCATTTCGCGTCGCACCACAGCATGTGCATCGCAGCCGAGGACGCGCGGCAATTCGACCGCGATTCGCCAACTTGCGCGTCACGTGAACGACGCGCGAGCAGTCGACACGTAATCGATACGCAATTCATAACAAGCAAGTGCAAGAGAAAAAAAAGAAAGGAAAAAATGAGAAAGCGCGAAGAGCGACCGCATGGCTGCGATTTATGATGGGCGAGACGTTGTCACATGGACGTGGCGAGCTGTCAATGGATCTTGTCGTTCGCGATTCACTCACCTGGTCGGACATGTTGTAGCCGTCGTGATGATACGATGTTTGATGGTGCTGCGGAACGTTCAAGGACAGGTCGAAGTTGTCGTTCCTCTGCAACAGACGGAAACGAGAATGATTTAATCGGCGCGCTTAATTAGCGACAGCGGTCGGTCATTAACAAGTATTACACGGAGAAAAATCTCAGTTCCCGCGGATGAAATAGGGACCGGACGAAAACTCGGCGAACAAGAAACGATATCTCCGTTATTGTACGACTGAGCACATTCAGTGCGAGCATTCAGTTGCGTTAAAACTCGATTGGGACAACTGAGAGCAATTGACTGAAACGTCCCGCGGGAATCTTTCTGTTCCGATGCGCAGAGAATTTTTTTTCTCGGAGATAGAAACATTCGTGAGTCGAAAAAGTATCATTTACAAAGATATTTCACCGTTCTTGCTTCTTGGCTTATGGCTCGATTTTGGTCCATCTTCAACCCATTCTATCATTTTTATGCTCGTCTCTTGCACTCTCAAGCACGTTTAGTCCATTTAGCGAGGAAATATTATGACGAGTACACGCGAGTATTGTATGAGTATTTGCGAGTAGATTGCCCGGCTTCAATGCCCGTTTTCCAGCTGACGACTAACATCATGGTAATAACGTCCCTCTTCTACTCAGTTTCGTTTTAATGCGGAAAAAGCACGGTAAAGTGTCGTGCGTTTACTTGAATAGCTGAATGCACATTTACACAATTTAAATTTACACAGCAGTGTTTACTATTTAAAAATACTCATAATAGTACGTCAACACTATTCGGATACACTTGAATGCAGTCCAGTATAACCACTAGTTGTTACGCGAAAATATCCTTTTCCGATCTAAAAACCGGGTTATAGCCACTCAGCCGAATGCACGTTTTTATTACCCAAATTAACAGTTTTCACCAAATAAAAAAAAACGGTGAAATATTTTTGCAAGAGATAGTAGTAGTCTCTCACCCGCGGCTAGAAATGCTCATAACGTCGAAACAACTTCAAGGCAGTGTGGGAAATTTTTGAAAGCAACGCGAACGACACGGTTACAACTGTACTTCGCTGCGTAGACACGTGGTCTGTTTTTCCCTTTTTAGCTGAACTGGCTACACTAGTTCAAGAAATTTACATACATATTGTAGCGTATGAACAAGATAGCGTACGAGATTCTCACGCTTCAGTGTGCGTGGAAATCTCTTGAACTAGCGCAGCCAGTTCAGCTACAACGAAGACAGACCAACGGTCTGTGTCACTGACACAACAAATATCCCGTCCTTCTGCCGTTCTCATAGACGCGCACACGCACACAACAGTAGTATTATACGTTACACAATAGAGTTACTGTCCGACATAAAATTTTTTTCCACATTGACGTTAGAAATAAAGCGCGATTCAAGCTGCAACGTCGAAAATGTCGAAAATGCATGTGTCAGAATATCTTTTACTCTTCTAACATTTATTTGTACGCACGGTAAATTTATATACCGTCAGATTAAAATACGTCTGATAAAATTATCCGTTTATTTTAGCGTTATTCATTCATCATATATAAAGTTTTGACCTCAATACAAGTATATCGTTAGTAGCGCGATACTAGCCAATCGTGCTATTAGCACGTTACATTGCTCGACAAAAATTTTCCGCGCATACACAACGGAGTTCTCGTCTTGCCCTCAGGCGATCGAAGATTCCATTTACACCAATGGAACATTTTTCCCAGGTGTGAGTGAATGGAAATCGGAAACAGGTGTGTTGTAGAGCGCAGGATGGCGGTGCTGCTTTAAGAAAGAAGAGAGCAAATATCTCAGCGAATCGTCGCGAGATCGGGAGGAATATCGAAGAACGTGGGGGGCGGGGAGGGGGGGCATCGGGTTGCCAGCGAGCGAATTCGGTGGGCGCGTGCCAATAATCCGATAATTCGTGCCGGCGGCGGCATCGCGACGCGACGCAGCAACTACGCGACGCGAACGGCCGGTAGTCCGTTCACGCGGAATTTGCAGAAAAGCTCGCCCGTAATCAAGATAGTTGCGAGTGAGTTATGTCGACGGGCGATGTTTGACATTTCGTAGTAACGGCAGTCGACGTTAGCGAAGGCGTTAACCGCGTTCCTGTCGGAACAGCGGTCACGGAACGGGAACAATGCGGCGGGCATAGCTCGCCGCCCCCTTCGTTCCCGGTCCCGTAGGAATTTCACGTGTGCGTGTCTACAGCCTCTTAAAAGCGCTTTTAAGCCCAGGAAGCACGAAAGGGACACGTCGATGCAATCGATGACTGAACCTCGTTGCGAGCGAGCGAGCGTGCGGCTGCGCCCCAATTCCGTCGGAGGATCCGCCGCGACAGGATCCACGATATCTCGATTCCGCAGGACCGCCGATCAGCGCACATATTTAGCGTTGAACGCCCGTGGACAGGAGGATAAACGGGCCATCGGGTCGAGAGAAAGTTACGCGCTTAAGACACGTCTCGCTGTCACGAGCCTCGTGTTACGCCATGCAACAACCGTACGGACACGGGCGCATAGTCTTTATTAACCTAAAGATGTCAGGCTCCAGCTTACGCCGGTATGCAATAACGAACGTGAAAGTGCAAGTTGCGCGGTAACGAGCTTCATGACGCGAATAACGAGTCCGGCGGGATTTTTCCCGAACGAAGAGCTCTCGCCGCTACATATCTTTCGGAAGCCTCGAAATGCGCTCTTATCCTCGCCGACCCGACTATCTCCTCAGGTGGTTATCTATAGTCGCGAAAACGGTCAAGGAAGCTGATAGTGATGACGACGAAGTTTGTTTTCACCGATAATTCTCCCGTCGGATTCGTCGAATTCTTTAACTTTCTCGCTTGATCAGTAATTTTCACTGTGTAGAATGAATACTTGAGGCAGTTGGTCGGTAAAACTATTTTTTTAAGAATTTTTTTTTTAATTTTAGCTTATATTGATGGAAATACTATCTACGTGTCTGCAAGGTTAGAAAGCGATTCTGAATAGCGTTTATTACTTAGGTAGTTAAATGAAGTAAGGGAAGTTTTTTTTTTTTAATGACTAGTGAACTTATGCAGGGAGCCCCTTAATATCGCCACTGAAAATCCGGACGAATTACTTGCGAAGAAAATCCGAGAGAGTAAGAAATGAACGCGTTTAAATCTTATCGAGTTCTTAAAATAAAAATTCGCCAGATTTCTTTAATTCACGCCGTGAAAATAAATCATGAGATTTTCCAACTATCAATTTATCAGCGGCTACAGTTAATTTTCATTTCTCAAACTCTATCCTTTCTCTCTCCCTTTCTTTCTCGTTAGTAACCGATTGAAAAACGATCCGCGCGGAACGTGACACGCAATGAATACAACGAGAGCACAATCAATCGCGCGACTCTCGATCTACGATCGAACGGGAACAGAGAGGAGCGTGCTACTACGGGGGGAGGGAAGAGAGGGAGGAAGAAGGTAATAAGAGGAAGCGCGGTGCGGGGCGCTTGTGGGAAATGCATGAAATGCAAAATTATACCGGTACGGTAAATAATGCATCGATGCGCACCGGCAACGCGTGTGTACACCGTCGGTCCGCGTTGTTCAACACGACCATGAAAAATGCATGCATGCTCGCGCGTACGCGACACGCGCGCCCGCTCACGACACGATCTCCGCGACTTGCAACGCGACCGATATAAACTGCGAGGACGAGAGTGAGAGAGAGAGAACAACCACCGACGACGAATTCTTTCACCACCGTCGCCGAATTTCTCCCTCGAAAATAGAAATCTTGCTGGGCCGACGTGTAGCGCCTAGCGTTCCGCTATTATCGTTCTTTTATTTTCCCGCGCTTTCCCACGGCATTACTCTATTTATGCGGTATTTAATTGAACAGCGAGATATTCCGCCGGTTTCTCGGTTCGTGCACACGCGCGACGTTACTACTTTGGTATCGCGCACCTTGTCGGATAAAATAAATATGCAATCGTGCCGTACATACCATACTCTCGCTGACGGCGACGCCAACGACCGGTCGAAAAAGCAGTTCGCGAAAGGCTTACCCTGTAATTCGCCACATGACGACAACAATCAAGTGATGACTTTTCGTTCGCGCGCGCGTTTATTTCGAGGTAAAGAGTATATTCTTCTTGACTTTCGCCGATTACGATTATGTGGTTTTCAGTCGGATGGAAATGTCGCGCGAGACTAAAAACGAGACCTTGGCGACTCAACGAGATGAATGCTGCTGCTGCTGCTAATGATGATGATGATGATGACGTACACCGTTGTACCGCGGACGATCGCCGCTCACGCCTAATTCCGACGCAGCTCGCCAACTAATCAGCACAGCGCGTACATATTGCTGTCTCTGTAGCGTTATTAATATGACGACTCGGTAATTGCGTTAAACTCGCGCGGAATGTCACGTCATTATGAGATCACGACTCGAAATTGCGAAGACTCGGCTGCGCTCACTCACTCACTCACTCTCTCTCTCTCTCTCTCTCTCTTTGCCGTGAGATCCACGGCCAATCGATACCGATCGTCATTTTCAAATTTTCAAAACAACGAAAGTGCAAGGACAAGCAATAATCGTCTGAAATTTCGGTGTACCTGTTAAGAGGATGTATAATAATAATAATAATATAATTTATTAAGCGAAAAAAATTGTATACAGGAAAAAAAGAGATATTCGGACGTGACACAGAAACGACCAAAGGATATGACAACAGCTGCGCAGCTGATTTTAATGCCACACCATATGTATAAATAACTATAAGTGTATATATCTGTTAAAATGCTACAATAATACAATAATACGATAAATGAAAAGAGGAAACGCGGAGACGCGCGCACGCTACTTGAACGCGAATAAAATAAAATGATGTTAAACGAAATTGTCCGTAATTCAAAATAATAAAGAAACTATGAAAAATAATAAAGAAACTATGAAATCACGAATTGATTTACATTAATAAAGAAACTATGAAAAATAATAAAGAAACTATGAAATCACGAATTGATTTACATTGCGTTCAAAAGTGATATCACAAGTCTGACAGTAATTCAGAGAGCCTGGAAAGATCAGAAATTACGCCACTTCAAAG